TTATTTTTATAGCCCAATATCATAAATTACAAATTTGCCTCAAGGGGCTTTATAATCTGTGCAGCATATGACACCCCATGTCCGTCATTTTGACAGACAGGGTCCTTTTAATTTTAATAATGATAATGAGCAAATAGGTATAGTTTAATGATCGTTATGTATGTTTTTTTTCAAACAGATCTTGTGAATCCGATATTGTTTTTCAGCCGACAATACAGAGTGTTATGTAGTATGGAATCAGTCCACAGTACAGTTCTCTCTGTTCAGTTTGCTGCGTATCTACTAGCTAGCGCTTTAGTGAAGTTTTTAAAACCGCTCACACTAAAGGATGTTGTCTCTGTCTGAAGAATATCGGCTGCTGCCATCAAACTAATGATTAAGAGTCCAACAGGCTTGACTGAACAGGTTAAAGAAGTCTTTTGCTCTGTAAATCAGAGTGTGGGTACTCAGTATGCCTCAGTGTTCCTGTGTAGACTAAGCACTGAATGTAAAAGGAAGCGATTCATTGACTGCTCTGCAGCCACTTTTGTAATGTCTGATGTGATATAGTGTATGTTTGTGGTAAATGTTTTGGTGTTTTGGTTAAATGTTGTGTTTTTGATGTGTGTGTGAAACGTCTTAGGACGCAAGGCACATTTCAGAAATCAAAATCCAATCTCAAATGTGTGCTAAATTTGTCATTTCTCTATAGAAATCTATTTAGGTTACCTGTAAGTCATCTTTTCTCCAAGTGACTGGTTAAAAATAACCTTCTCCGTTTATAAATAAGTCTCCTTCAGTACTTTATAAACACCTGATATAGACATGAAGTTTAATTTTTCTGAAAAAAATAAAATAAAATCAGTTTTAATTGCAGAAATATCGCATTAGATATTTTATTCATATTGTTCAGTATAAAGTATGCCTCCATCTAAGGCACTACACATCTACACCGAAAGAAGCACAAAAATCATACACATATCCACAGTTATTTAAGCCGTGGACTTTTTGCAAAGGCACCTGCAGTGAATGTACACTGCATTCAACATGTTTCTATTGGCTCCTTTGTATGATTGTGTTGCTCTGTGTTTTCCTGTCCTACCTGCTTGCTACAGATTGATTTGCTGTTTGAGGGCTGGAAGGTGATGCATGGCTGCCCTCTGTGGATGAAAGAGGCATCTGCTGTCAGTGCCTTTAAAGTCAAGCATCTGTCATTCCTAAGGACATCTTTGGATTAGCTTGAAGAGTGATGAACCCCACACAGCTCCTACAGCACTGATAGATCCCGCCTATGAACACACCAGCTGCTCTTCTCAACCTAGTCCAGCATCACTGCTCAAATATACATTATTCCTATATGATTTTTCAGCAGTGAGGACATTTTTCCTTTTGGACTCCAAAATGGCTCAATATCTCAGAAGAACTGCTTCTTCACGTTGTCCTGTCTTCCTGGGCAGGTAAGTTTTTTGCAAACATTGATTTGCATAAAGTATAAAAGCTGCTCTGTATCAGCCTGAAGGCAATTCTTGTTACTACTTCCCCTTTTCCGCAGTCTTGTTACTGCCGCTTATTGGATATGTGAATCCACTAAAGACTGTAGTCAGCCTCAGCAATCAGAAGTAACGTATCTCTGACATCCATGCAGCATTCAGCTCTGCCAATCAGAAGGAGTGCACCATAGGTCAATCCCAGCTCAACCGGCTTGGTCCAAGATGGTAGTGTGCCAGAAAGAAAAAAAAAAAGAATTATGGTCTACTAACTGATTCCTAACCATTAGAGTATTAAAATCAGACAACAAAACATAAAATCCTAAATAGGATAACGTCTATAAAGTTCAGGCCAATGTAAGAAATGATCTCAGTAATTTCATTGGTGCCCCCCTGATCTTTCCTCTAGTGTCCACATCATGCAAACATGTTGATACAAAACAAATATTCCAACATGGAGATTACTGAGCACATTCGTGCACATATAACACAATAAATGAAAGGGGAAAAGCCAAAAAGCATAAAATTACCTCTTTATTAAAATTTTGAACATACATCCATGGTCCCCACAGGATGAATCCTGACATTAGTGAGCCCCTGCATTTTCATCTAGTCACTAGAGCAGCCCCTAACTAAAGATGTTCAGAATCAACTAGTAGTCTTTGGTCAACTAGTCGTCACATATATGTAAATATAAATGCAAGATGCTGAAAATGTAAAAGCTCCGTATTTGTATAGCGCCTTTCTAGTCTTTTCGACCACTCAAAGCGCTTTTACACTACATCTGCATTCACACACTGAGCCTAAGTGCTCAAACAGAAACTAACATTCTCACACATTTATACACTGGTAGAACAGCCACCAGGGGCAATTCCGGGTTCATTATCTTGCCCAATGATACTTTGACATGCAGCCTGGAGGATTGAACCACCGACCTTCCGCTCTATCTCCTGTGCCACAGCCGCCCCAGAGATGCTCACAAGTCGTTAAGCTAGAGTCCAAGTCAAGTCTCAAGTCACTCGTGGTTATAATGAATGTTGTGTCACCTGCTGCGTTCAATCCAGGCTGCTTATAAAACTGCATAGCTATAAGGAATTCTGTAACTGTAACCTGTTTTTCATTTACAGAGCACAACCATGTAATTTGCGATGCAACTAATGACAGCTTATTAACTACTGTAAGTCAACACACAGCCCAGACTCTCAAACCAGTGTAACGTTATAACTAAATAAATAATAATAATAATAATATTAATTAATGTGATGGCAGCCAGTGGGACGTAAATGATTATGTTAATCGACTACCACAAGTTTGGCAAGCAAACAAACGCAGTCGGAGTTAACATCCCATAGGTCGTAGCTAAAGCAACAAGCAAGCTAACGTCTACACAGCCATCATCCAGTCTGTCCTCTGCACCCCCATCACTGTCTGGTTTGGATCTGCCACCAAAAAGGACAGGAGCAGACTACAACGGACAGTCAGGACTGCAGAAAAAATCATCGGTGCCAACCTGCCCTCCATTCAGGACTTATACATTTCCAGAGTCAGGAAACGGGCAGGTAACATCACTGCAGATCCATCTCACCCCGGACACAACCTGGTAGGTCCCCTCTGGTAGGCGCTACAGAGCACTGTACGCCAAAACCAACAGACTCAAGAACAGTTTCTTCCCACAAGCCATCACTCTGATGAACAGCTGACTCTGACTCACAATGTCAGGAACTATTCCTGTGCAATAACCCAGTAACTCTGCCACCTGTTTACTGGCTACCACTACTATTTATTCATCATTCTCTATTTCAGAGCTCTATTGCACTCTGCTCATTGCACTATTGTCTCTGTCTGTTTTTGTTCATAGTGTGTATATATGTGTTCTCTATACTGTAGCCTGTGTGTGATTATTATTGTCTCATTGTATTATTGTAATAGTAAGCACATCGTGAGCATTGTACAATTGTACAGAGTCAAACTCCTCATATGTGTACACATAGCAATAGAGGGTATGTGTTGATGTCACTTCCCCTTCCGGAACACGCTGGACTGAGTGGCAAAACATCTGTTACCATGGCTGCGTTTAGCAAACTGGGAGTAAAACAAGTGATTATTTGCTCAAATTAAAGGCAGTCGGACTCGACAGTGATCCTAACTGCTTACCAAAGAACCAGCGGTCCAGTTCCTTCCCATTTTAGATGTGTTGTTTGTGTTTTAGCTGATTCAAGCTAACACTGCTGCTCGTCTTTTTGCCACTCAGTGAGCGTAACTACGTTCTGTGACATCATGCGCATACCCTCTCTAAAGCTTATTCTGATTCTGAGATGGCCAATGCTGAGCTAAACACGTTCACTAACTTTACGTTACTAACCTATTTTGCATTCAGCGCTTCTTTTGTTTGGGTCTTGTTGTATGAAGTTTTAAAGCCAAATTTTATGATGAATGGCACAGCAGCTGCGGGTGTTTGTTGTCCTCTCTCCTGTGTGGCTGTGCGCAGCTGATACGTAGTTGTGTTACGTAGGCAGGTTATAGGTAACGCAGGAAGGGGAATAACAGCATGCCTATCAGACGTTTCCTAAAAATAAACATTGTTCACGAGTCCTGCACCTCGAAAACCGAGTCAAGTCTGAAGTCTTTTGAGGACGAGTCTCAATTCAAGTCTGAAGTCACTGTGTGTGTGACTTAAGTTGGACTCGAGTCCGAGTCTCAAACTCGAGTCTCCATCTCTGGTGTATGATATTCATTAAATTATTTAAAAATATATCTTGGGGGTTACATAAAATGATTTAGGGGGAGGCTGCTGAGCCCAGTTCCACTGCTCCCTCGCTCAGCTCCAGTTTTGGTGCTCATTCTGGGAGCATTTCCTGCTGGGTCCCGGGTGGCTGGAGTAAATTGAATGGATTGGCACTAAATTTGATACACACGTTCATTTTTCCCTCAGGGTGTATTGGATTAAGTTTGGTGAGCCCCTGACTTCAGCAACAACATTTTTATTAATACTTTGATTTATGACCAAATACCTGAAAACAAATGACCTTTCCCATCAGTCTCAACTGTACTTTGTGTGTACTGCTAACAAATGTTAGCATGCTAACATGCTAAACTAAGATGGTGAACATGGTAAATATTATACCTGTTTAAACATCAGCATGTTAGCATTGTCACAGTGAGCATGTTAGCTTGCTTACATTAACATTTAGCTGAAAGCACAACTATTCCTAAGTACAGCCTCACAGAGTAAGTATAGTTGAGAACACTTAGTCTGGTGTCAAATACTGATCTCAGTATCAGTCTGGCTCTACTAAGAACATCATTAGTATAATCATCTGTGTGTTGTTTGTTGGATCTACCACTCGCATTGTTGGGTGTAATGGATCACAGACTCTAAGGGCTGCTAGGTAGGCTTTAGAGAAAAAGTCATGTTGTAGTACAATCTGCAACAGAAAGCTCTCTCCCCAGGTACGACCTTGTACAGTTAACTGTTTTGTTGTATTGCAGTTGGGCACAGATTGTTTGTCTTTCTGTGTTTCTGGCAGGTCTTACCTGCACTGTGCTGTCTCTCTGCCATAGGTTCACTCATGGGCTCAGCCCGCTAATCACAGCCTCCACGCCTCTCACTCCCACACCAACAGAAACAGCCGACCTGGAGGACACAGATTGACAGCACACTTTCAGCTCAGACATGCTCTGTCACGCAAAAACAAAAGTTACAGTCAAGCATGCGGGCTCTAACAAGCACCCTGAAGAAAGACACAATTTAAGGACCATACAACTGTTTTCACCATATTACTTTACAAAACTGCTGACCATTTTTAAGTAAACCAAGATAATTTCAAATTTTAAAGGAATAGTTCATTGCCGTACACAGTTGTTGTTGTTGTTGTTTTATTTTATTATTTTTATTTAACCAGATGTTCTCATTGAGATTTAAAAACTCTTTACCAGGAGGGACCTGGGCAAAATAGCAGCATATTGACAGAGCACTTACAGAGAACACCAGACGCACCGGCACTCAACGATTTTTAAGATACACAAATAAACAGTATAACTTTAAGACCACTTAAAAGTACAATTTGTACATTGGTTTAAATGAATTGGTTATTTTAAAAGCAGTGACAACAATTCATAGCTTCTAGTTCCAAGTCTTTCATCAAGTGTTTAAATTCACCAAAGGAAATGAGATCTCTCAGCTGCAAGTCAGTCTGCAGTGTATTCTAGTCAGAGAGAGCACTGAGCTCTGTACAAACCGTAGGTGCAGACAACAAATATCTGTGTGGCAATGCAGTGTGCAGATAAATAATTTTGATATCTATATGTTTACAGTATATGCACTGTAGGAGTCAGACATGCATGTTTATCAACTCTTTTCTTCACTGCACTGCAGTGGCAGGACAGTGAGTCAGCGTATCAGCAACATTTCTTTTTAACTGTATTTCAATTACATGCAATTTGAAAGATTAAAATCATACATTGTGTTTTATAGGGCTGCCCCCGACTACAGATTTTCCTAGTTGACCAGTAGTCCTTAGTTCAAGCCATTAATCGACTAGTCATCACACGCTTATGATAATAATTTAATAATAATTTAAAAATACATTGTTGCAGCATCAGAAAATGGTTTAAGTTAGAGACCTGAAAGAGTGTTATAAGTAACAATATAAACACAGTGCTCCATTACAGAGAAATACAAAACCGTAGTAATGAGCCTTTAAAATATAAATTTTTCAAGTGGCAAAAAGCGAGCTGCTTGTTAGCGACGAGTGGTAATGATTCTGAATGTGTCGGAACAACCAGCAAGGGGACTGAACATTTACATTTAGCTGACACTTTTATCTTTTATCTTAGAATTGCTATACATGTCAGATGTTGCAGGGTTAAGTGTCTTGCTCAGGGACACATTGGTGGATGGGTCACAGTGGGGGACTAAACCCGGGTCTCTCACACCAAAGGAATAGTCTTATCCATTGCGTCATCACCACCCCACTATTTTGTACATTTATTTTAAAACATGCTCATTCCGGCGCCACTCCCCGGCAGCTTTTCCCGCTGAAGCCCACCCCCCCGGGTTGTTCTGAATGAATTGCCTCAATGAAAAGATGTATAGGGTGTATCGGGTGTTTTGGCTTAAGTTTGGTGAGCCCCTGACTTATCTACTGCCATCATCAGGCCAACATTTTTATTAATACTTTGGTTTATGATCAAATTCCTGCAAAACAAATGACAGCATTCCCCGTTGCTGCCCTGCGCCCGAAAACCTCTTCATCCCAGCGGTGTGAACAAACACTAACACTCTCACACCACTTCAAGCTTCCAGTCCAGGTGCAGTCAGATTATATGACAGCTAACTAAGCAAAACTAGCTAAAGGCAGCAGTTATTAGGGGGCAGCTCTAGTGTTTGGTCATTATCTCAGTACAGCCATTTGAGTTTGCCAACACACACCTTCAGCAGTGACTGACACACACCACAAGCAAGTATCCATTAATGTTCTCCTATCAAACATCCCTAAAGATGGCCTCAACGTTTGCAAGCAGTACAGCATTTGTCAAATGAGCTTCCTTTGTCTTTAGCAACATCTACATAGGTAAGTCTAAGCGTTTGCCTATACGCCTCTGGGACAAATTCATACACATGCAGGATTGCAGCTTTAACAGAGTCGTCCTGTAAGCTATTCTCTATAGGGAGGGCTTATACTGCCTCTTGAGCTTTGCCTTGAATTTTACACTGTAACAGCATTGACCAAACATCCGGAGGCCAAAGGAGAGCACTGTCAATCGGGCCTCATCGCCAAAAATGATCATATCGAAGAAGAGTGAGGGGCGTTTTCACCTGACCCTCTAACCTGCCAACACCCTTTTACGTGATAACTTAAAGAGAATCTGTGTCTTGGCTTGCTAAGCCCTCACTATGAGGGCTCCTATCTACCGCTCAACAAACTTGCAACTGTTTGCGGTCCTGGATCCACAATGATGATACGAGCTCCCCAGTGACACCTTAAAAAACAAACTCTACACATCTTCCGCCACAGACCTGAAACTCCTCTTCACATTGCAACTTGAACAATAATAAAACTTTCTCTATCTCTTTTGTTTCTAAATGTATTACTTGAAGCAGTTCAGCATATTTGATGAACTTGATATACTTGCATGATTGTTGTAATTTGTGGGTTGTATCCATCCATCCATCCATCCATCCATCGTCAACTGCTTATCCTGCGTACAGGGTCGCGGGGGGCTGGAGCCAATCCCAGCTGACATCAGGCGAAAGGCAGGGTACACCCTGGACAGGTCGCCAGTCCATCGCAGGTGGGTTATATCCACATGGTTGAATTTACTTATTGTGAGTGGCATTAAGTAAAAGCATTGGCATTGGAGTGTTCTGTAAAGAGTCTTGTTTCTGCCTGTTTTTAAGTCCTTTTCTATTGTGGACCCGGATACATTGTGTGGCAGTCTGACAATCTGAGTGAGAACAATTTGATTTTCAAAGCGAATTTACAGGATAACTTGGAGAGGATCTGTGTCTGGGGGTTCTTCTCTCGGACCCCCTTTCTTCTAAGTTACAAAATTCTGTAGCACTTGACGCGGAACATATTTGATGAAGTTAGTGTATTTGCCTGATTTTTTGCAATTCTTGAATTGTACCCACATGGTTAAATGCACTTACTATAAGTCACTTTGGATGAAAAGATAAATGCGCCAGCTAAATAAATGTAAGTAACAGTACACACACAAAGACACACACAGAAAGTTATACATACATCACTCTGCCCCACCACACACTCTACACACTTGAGGAAAGTGGAAATTAGATGTTCAGCTCAAATAGCTTTCTGTCCAGCTATGATTAATAGAGTATCAGCCAGCCCCAGTGCAGGAAAACCCTCCTGAAATCAGTTCCTGTAACACCAGCATCACTGTAACTAATATCCATGGAAACTCTGTTGGGACAAAGATAAATGATGATGACTTGTGGCTTTTGCTGTGCTGACATTTACAGCTAATTTACACATTTTGTATTTGAGCTATTTAGCACATGTTCCGTTTCAGAGTAAATGGCAATGCTAGCTTTAGTCTCAACAGAGCTAATGTATTTCCTTTCCAGTTGTTGTTAGTTGTGATGTCTGATCTGTTTCCAACCCAACCTTTGTACCACTTGAGTTCACAGAATGTGAATTTGAGCAATGGATGTCTACTGTCTACTGCTCTCATCGTTTTTCCTCCCGCAGCACTCCGGCTTGGGAAACAGAAGAGAGAGCAGTGTCTGGGGTTTTTAAATTTTAACAGCTTTACGTCTTTGATGAATTCAAACAGCGCAGAACAGAACAGGACCACATACAGACCTTGTGTCAATATCTGCAAAGCCGATGAGATGCGAGACGAGACATGGCAACCTGATCCCACAATCATTTACAGAATGGAAATAGGATGGGAGCATCTAGTCGACCTGTCAGAGACCAGTCTCATAATACTTGCATCTACATATTCATCTGACTTTTAACAGCTGAGTGATCACACCTCTTTATAGTTTCTGTCAGTTCCAAAATAGAAAGACCAAAATCTGATATACTGAATGTGAGACACTGGTTAAAAGTGAAAAGTATGGGAAACAGCTCCAAGGTGCAGTATAAGTTATTCTTAATAAACTAGAAAAAGACACTTAAAACAGCGTGTACATGCCAGCTGTGATCCAACCACACTTGTGATAAACATGCATGAGAGCAACTGAACACTAATTGAGACCAGTTCCTGTGTGGGGTATGATCTGAGCCCAGTGCTGTCTACACTTAAGCATGATAACCACACATTTAAAGCCTCAGTATCTTCAAACCTTACAGCTCTGACCTAGGTGACTCTCATTATTTATGAAGGGCCAAAAGTATTCGGACATTCCTGTCCACCTCCTTGCGTGTGTGAGTGTGTGTTAATGCATTCTGCACTGTGGGAGGCCTTTATATGAGGGAGCTTCTCCCAGAAATGAAGCTAATCCATCCTGACAGAAAATCACTGCTGCACCAAAATGTTTAATAACCTACTTTTCATGATTACACCATGGTACACCTGGAAAGCTCATTAGCTTTAGGTTATCTAGATGAAAGATTCAAAGGCTTTTTATAAGTCAATTAAAAGAGATGAAAGATAATGAGCTTGATGGAAAGCTTTAATAGGTTTTCTGTTATATGTCTTGTTAAATAAGATAACGCATTTTCAAAGGGCTCAGCTCCCAATATAGGTTGTGTGTGGTGGGGTGTTGTACAGTTGCTTAAAATAACGGTATATTTAAACCTGGCTTCTTTCCCATATATGCCACTAGTGTGGCTCTGTGGATTGTGCAAAAATTTCACTCACTACCTCCGATGTAGAGATTCGGGGAAACAAGGACTCAAGAAATAACTTATATGGCTAACTCCATGGGGGATCTACCTCTGGGTACCTTGACAGCTGACCATACCACCCTGCATATATCTGTGCACATGCATTTGCTTGCATGTGTGAGGCTTCTCTTTCACTGTGGTTATACTGTCTAATGATGAAACTCATAAACCTTAACCTGTGAATTATTCCGAGGAAAACCGCCAGACATCCCTTCAGATTTCCCTTTCATGAGCTACTGTATTTATTTGAAGCACAGCACACAGACAAGGAGAT